CCAAATGCTATTTTTGACAGGAGCTGGTGGAACACCTAACCTTGGTGAGACTGCTCTTTGCCATTGTGCAGCTCGTAAGAAATATTCAATAGGTGCTCCATAATCGTTTGGTAAAGTTTGTTTCATAGATGGTGAAGGTTCGCGAGAGCTTGATGAAGAACTCATTTATAAGCTTTAAAAATAAACGTTCATCCTTTATTCCTCACTGTCGTCCGTGGCTAAGTTATAGTCATCTAATCTTATTATTGGGATGCCTGACTGTCTTACCTGAATGGCAAAGCAACAATCCCTCATAAATCCAATAAGTGGCTTTGGTACATTTTCAGTTGCTAGTTCAATAGGTTCTTTAACAGACAATTTGTATGTTATTGGAGCAGTAGATGTTTGACCTTGCTGGAAGCAAAAGTCCACTTCTGTTGGAAAACCACATAAGAAATGTGTGTTGTCATAGCTATCCCATTTATGTTCCACACTACCATCATCCACCAATGACCTCATAACATCTTCATTAAATCCTATCATATCATTGTTTGTATTGCAAGCGTTCGCAACCATTTCATAAAATACAGGTCCATATGATTTTTCAGGTTCTGCAGGCATATTTCCATAAGCTCCCATGGAAAGCTGAAGATATTTAAACTTAGGGTTCTCAAAATTAACATAATAGTTGTCTTTCTTTCTAAATAGTGCCCAAATACTTTTAACATTAATAGGCGATAAGCTGCTGTAAATGTTGCACTTGAACTATCTGTATTCTTTGAGAATGAACCGTCCATAGGAATCCAATCCATAACTTTAACAGGAAAACATAAAGCCTCGTTTGTATAATGTTCTACAAGTTCTGTATAAATGTTAGGGTCTAAAGAGAATGACTTTGGATGAATGAAACATTCATTTAAAATCCATCTTTGTTCGAAATAGTTGCTGGGTTACAGTTTGTAATAGTAACTGTTCCACTAGCTTCTACTCTTCGTTATCATAGTGAATGGTTCATTCCATGGAACAAATTTATTTGTCGGTGGATTTGAATCTGAAGCAAATGCAACTTTAAGAGTGGATTGAAAGCAATGATATCATTTACAGATATAGATGTGCATTGTAAGGCGTCGCTACTGAACTTTACTTTAAGCTGAATGTTTCCTGCAAAAGCTGGAATAAATCGAAATAGCTTCTAATGGAAGGAATCTTCTAACAGGAATTCTTAAACGAAGCTTAAAATCAAATGGTTTTCCTGCTGTAATTGGACCACTAACAATTTGTCCTGTTCTGCATGTTCCCGAATGACTCCATACATCTTCATGTCGAGTCTTTGAGAAAACATCTACTTTCTTTATTTGTTCGGTAGTTTGTGAGTTTGAAGTTATATATGCTTCTTCTCTTGCGTTGTCTTGAGAATATACGATACGACCATTTGCAAGGATTTGATATCCAGCAACTGCATAGAAAGCGTCATCGAAACCAATCCAAAATCCTGGTGGGTTTGTTTTATTGGAACCTGAACCAATTTCTTTATCTACAATAAATTGACCTTCCATTTTATACGTAATGAATGTATTGTAAAGGTCCAACATATTTTCACCAGGAGGTGAGAGATTGAATGTTACCCATGTGTTATCTTTAGCAGTTCCAGGTTGTGATGGAATCTTTGCGTCAGAATATTTTCTATTAGTGTCACCAATTTGAACTGCATTGTCTATGATATCGAAATATGAGCGAATCTGATGAATATGCTCTGCTGGAGTAAATTCGTTTAGCTGTTCGTTCTGCATGTATTTACTTCAGATAAAAATATCTATTTACTTCATTATTCTCACTCTTCTTCTTGGCATTCGTGGTGGAAGTTGTTTCTTGACATTTTCAATGAACTGTACATTCTCTTTTGTCTCAACTTCTTTCACTGGCGGGTCAGGATTCTTTGACTCGGTTTGTTTTTCAATGAAATTCACGAACTTTGCAATAAGCTCTTGGTTCGTTATTGAAAGTACATCTGGCTTCTTTTCTTCTGGTTCTATTGACTTTTCAGTTTGAATAGAAGGCTTAACATGGACTTCGTGGACTTCACCCTTGCCATACACCTTAATGTTGTCGCTTTCTGCATTCGCTAATGGAACCTTTCTTTTTCTTACGTATATTTTACCATCTTTACTCTGACTTACATAATAGAAAGGATGTTGTATTCCTCTTGCGTCATTTAATATAATAGACTCTCGCTCTGATTTTGACAAGCTCATTTTACATCGGTTAAAGTTTTAATTTTGTTTTTTATCTGCAGTCAAATGACTCAGACAAGCCCTACGGACAAGACCCAAGGGGTCATAGATGTTGAAGCATTGAAGAAAGAAATTCGTGAGCAAATTTTATCCGAACTGAAGGAACAAAAACAAGAACAAAAGCCAGAGAGACCAAAGAGAAAACTTAGTGAAAAACAACTTGCTGCATTAGCTGCTGGAAGACAAAAGAACCCACGTTTGCTGGCAAAGAAAGCTAGAGAAGAAGCAAAAGCAAAGGAAGAACAAAAAGCTAAAGAAGCTGAAGAAAAGAAAGAGTAAATGGTTTATTTTTATCCGAATTAAATGTATAGACAAATACCTTTAACTGTTGCGTTCAGTAGTGAAAACCCTGACGTCAAAATAAAGGGGAACAGAGTAACGTTTAAGTTTCCAACAGACTGGATTGTGAACATAAATGAAGAGAAGTACATTGGCATAACATCTATGTATATAACACGTGCTTTCAGAAAGGTTGACTTTATACTTCAAGTCGAGATAGAAAATGACGAACAGTCTTTAAGCGCCCAAAACATTCACATATACAAATACTTTAAAGACGATACAACATTGTTGCAATGTATGATTTCATTTAATGAGATGTTCGAGAAAAAGTTCAACATTGAAGTACAAACTTTACAGCCTTTACGTGAGTTTTTGCACAACTGAAAGAAGAAGGTAGTCAGCCACAACTTATAGACTTTCATTATGAATTTAATGAAAATGAAGATGGAACACATGACTGTCAGTTTGTTATATATTCACCATTCAATGAAGTAGCTAAAAAGAAAGAAAATCCATTACGTATAAGGTTTCAAATCTCTGAACCCAATGAAGACTTCAAGAATGTTTTCAATTATGATGCAATGCTTCCGAGGAAAAATGAATTTTCAAAGATTGTAACACCTGGCATTTGGGATAGAAAGCAAGCTATATTATATTCAAACTTAAGTAAGGGAGTTGAAAATGAGTTCATTGGTCATACAAGAACTTCACCACTTCCTAACCCTAAATACTATAAATTAACTGGCTTCAATCGTGAGTTTTGGATAGACATGTTCTCCACTCATGACCATAACTGCCCAGTGTTCTTACCTCCAGACCATAAGGACTGTCTCTACATTGAAGCACAACTCTTAAACTCTACCATCGCAGTATTGTAAAATCTACGCTAGTTTTATTTTTTCTGAAAAATTTTATTTGAGTGAAAGGCATGGAAGGTGAAGGACATTGGCAAACACTCGAACATGACAATGACTATGAAATCTTTTCAGAGTACCCATATCCAATTAGGCGCATATGTAACAAAAGAGTTGTAAGTGAGTTTGACAACGGTGATGGTTATATTTGTGTTTATTTAAACAAACATAAACTCTTTAAGCATAAAATTGTTGCAAATCAATTTATACCGAATCCTGAAGGACTTCGAGAAGTAGACCATATAAACAGAGACAGAGGAGACTTTCATATCTCAAACTTAAGGTGGGTGTCGAGAAGACAAAACATGAGAAATATTTCTGGTTCGAATGGCTATTGGTTTGACATTGTAGACACTCTTCCTGAAGATGCTGTTGAAATTATACAATACTCTAAATTTACTCTAGAAAATTACTACTATGTCCCAAGTGAAGATGCCTTTTACTATTTCATGGGAACTCAATACAGACGAATGAATGTCTTAAGACAGTATAACAAAGATTATATAAACATTACAGATGTAGAAGGAAGAAGAACAAAGCTGTCTATTGCAAAGTTTAAGAGAGACAATGGTTATACATAAATGACAAAAATATATGACCTCATGGGCTTCGCCCTTGCCGCTAGCGGCTTATTTTTATCACGAATGACCTCATTCATGACCTCACTGCTGACAAAAATAAATGACCTCAGAACTTCAACTTACGAATAAAGCTTGTTTTAGTCGTTATTGAGAAGTTAAACTTTTCAGCAAAGCAAGGACCAGAAGACTTACACAAGTCGAATGCAATCTCTTGACCGTCATGAAGTGCTTTGTAAAGTTTCATTAAACTGAACTCAGAGTCTTTGTCATATGTTCCAACAGGTATGTGAATGTTCTTATCTTCATTGTAATAGCATTGTATAGCTTCAGGAAACATTTCATTAGCGGTTAAAGCAAGAACGTCTTGTTTTACACCTTTGCAACGTGCATGGAATGCAACTTCATTTAAATCGTTAGTGAGTAAGTCTATGTAAGTCTTCTTTCCACAAAATATTGACTTGTATGCTAAACTTTGTTTTCCAGGTGTTATTTCTGCGAAGTCAGAATGGAACTGACCTAATGTTTTACCAATAAGTTCTCTACCGTATCTCTTCTTAAACTCTGCTGCAAGCTTTGGTATGTCTTCATTGAAAATATGCATGCTATCACAGTCCTGGTAAAATATTTGAAGTCCCATATCCTCAGCAGTACAGAATACTTCACACATTATTCTCTTCGACATAGATAGAATATTAACACCAAGTGGACAGAAGTTAAAGTGTCTGCAAATGCTTTTTGTTAGCTTGAAAATAGTTTTATCTGAACCATCCAAACCTTCGAACTTCACTATATGGTTGTAGTTTCTGATGGCATATCTTATAGCATCTTTGTCATCTACTATGGTTATTTTTGACTCAATAGGAGATAGAATAGTTTTGCCATAAATACTGTTCAGAATGAGCTTTATATTTTCTTGCAAAGGATTTCCTTCTTTCTTATACTTTAACCTTAACTCAAACAACTTCTTTACTTCATCTCTTATTCTAATATCTCTGTTTCCATCGTAATAGTATCCTTGCAACACTTCACATTTGACACCTTGATATTTTATGAGGTCTTGTAATGTTATATGGTCAACATACATTAAACAGCAAGTGTTTGAACTTCTGGGAACGTTAAGTTCTGGATTTAGTTCAGGGTCACAAACTATTAAAGGAAAGTGTCTGGGTATGCCAATCTCTGTTATCTTAATGAGAACAAAGAAGCCAGACATAAACTTTTCACCAATGGGTTCCTTTTGGTCGTCATCGAATAAATGTCTCATGAGATACTCTGTGCTTAACATTTCTTTCTTCATAACCTTTGGAATACCTTCTAAAGTATAAAGTCTTGCTATAGCTGATGGATATAATGAAACAGCGTCGAAATCAGCAATGAGTTTCTTTTCGCTCTTTTGTTTAATGTTATCTGACAGCATACATCTTCCACCTTGAATGCATCTCGAAATAAACTCTCTTGGTTTATTTGAGAGGTCATATAAATTTCCATTCGGGAAGTACACTCTGTTCTCAAATAATTTGTTAGCAATAGAACAAATACTAACGTAGTCATAAACGTTTAAATCAAACTCTTTCAATAAGTCATTGCGGAACTTTACAAAACCTTCTCTTAAAATTCTTACATCTTGTTTGCAATAGAATGTGCTATACTTTTCTAAGTCGAAGTGGTTTTCATCTATTCTGCAACCTTTGATGGAATCTATGTTTTTCATGAATGTATCTGCATCCCGGATAAACTTACATGCTTCAGAAATGACACCAGTTCTGTTGTCATTTGCTAACAAAACACTGCTGTAGTAGTTGTATGGAAATACTTCTTTCGGTCCTGTTTGTAAGTTAAACATAGCAGGAAATAGTTTAAGCTTCTTATTTATAACACTGTAAGAGTCTTTTATAATAATTGCCCTTCCTTTATATAAGCCAGTTATTTGCATTGTTCGTGAACCTTTAATGATGGGAGTTCCTTTCACTTCTGTCATGTGTCTTAAGATGAAGTTTATGTCATAACTGAGGTTATGGAAATATATTAAACTCTTGTCAGGAAGTCGCTCCAAAAATTCTGTTGCACAGTTCTGACCCCAAATGCTTTCACTCACTGAACCATCTTCACTGTCGTAACATATGTTAAAAGCTTTATGAAAGCCATCGGTACTGCACTCAAAGTCAGCAAAGAAAACGTGCTCAGGAATGAACTTGCACTTATTTTTATTTACTTCTTTTGACTCGGCTTTCTTCTTCAGTTGTACACAATACTTTGGAGCATATGTCAAATCTTTAAATGGTGCAAGGTTCTGTTTATATAAGTCAGTAGTATATGTGAAAAGTTCTCCATAAGAAATAGGTTCGAAATATTTGCACTCCCACAATGTTTTCATAACATCCCATAACGGTGTTGTTCTATCATAACGAACTACATATTTATCTTCTCTCTTTGTATAAATCTTCATCTGTTTCTCAATGTTCATTCCACCACAAGCTTTGAGAATTTCTATATAGTTGCGAATGAAATATGTTGTCATTGGTAATCTTTCATTTAGCATGTAGTAGTCTTCAACAAGAAGTAAGTCAATAGTTCGAACAGTTTTACATTCTTTTGGTATGTATCTCTTTATTTCATTATGTCTTGAGTCATTGAAGTAACCAATGGTAACATTAAATGCTATACCTGTTGCGTCAGAAATTTCTTGTACTTTACTTTGAGGAAAGTCTCTAACACGAATGACTTCTCTCATGTGGTCAATAGTCTCTCCATCTACTCCAGCCTGAATGCAAGCATAAACGAAACAATTGTCTTCTGTCATAAGTGTTGCAGTTCTTTTGTTCAATTCATTGAAATTTGGTAGCGTTCAAGATTTATAGGTAATGTGCAAAGATACTTCCAGAACTGACCGCTTCTCTTCTTATAAAACTTCTTTTCACCATTATCTTTCCAAAAGCTTTCTATAAGCGCTGGGTTTCCTGTTTGCTTAAGAGCTTCCAAAATGGCTTTCTGGTCATTTGTCAGTGTGCTTTCATCTCTATATGGTCTCTTTTTTGGTTTGCCTTTCTTTACATCTGACATCGTTAAGCCTTCATATTCTGTTAAATCATACATCTTTATTTCAGTAAGATTCTTTATGTTTGTCAAGAAGAAGTCATAGTGCATTTCAACAATACCTGCAGCATTTGCTTCTATCTCTGATATAAAGTTCTCCTTCAAGAGCTGATGTAGTAATGTTCCAATATTATTGAGGTTTAACGTAGAACATTCATACTTTCCACCAAGTTTATAACATACCATCCATCTCTGTTGTGAGTTTATTTTAATTTTCTCTAAGAGTCTCATGAAAACCTTACCGAAATGTTTGTGTAAGTAGTCTCTGTTTGGTTCATCTAAAGCTTCGATGTTAAAGTCAATGAGTCTATTGCCTGACTTCACATTTCTCTTCCTATTCTCTTCATCTTTCTTTAACCATCTCTCACCTTCTTTTGGTTTGTCGTCAATGGAACGAATGACATCGTTAGCTTTGCGAACTTGTTCTATAGCACTTTTAAACATCTCTCTTCTCTGTTTCAGTGTGTTGTCTCTTCTTCTTGTTTCACCAACGTTCGCATTTGTTATGTCAAACATCTCTTGACGAACATCATGCGAAAGAGCTTTACGAGTATGACCAACGTTCGCATTTGTTATGTCAAACATTTCTCTTCTTACTTCATGAGGTACTGAACGTCTATGATATAAGTCAATAGCAACGTCATTTAAAGGAAATGCTATTGCATGGACTTCGTCCTCGCCGTGTTGCGGCTTTATGAACTCATGAATTTTATCATAACTTATTGCACCATTATAGTCATTGAGGATGTCAGCGAGTGCCTTTTTGTTTGTTGCGTAATGCTTTGCAACATCTATATTAGCTTCTGTAAGAAGTTGTTTTATTTCCGAGTGTTCTAACTTAGACAACTTCCGATACATCTTTAGTAGGAAATAAAAAAATATTTTTTGAAAAAATTAGATTAGATTTTTTAAAGTTATTTTTCAAAATAATTTAATATTTTTATTTTAATGAAACACATGCAAGATTGCAAGTTCTTTTCATACAATGCTCTCGCTAATGCCATCAAGAATGAGTTCAATAATGCTTCAAATGTTAATGTTATCTTTAACAAGAAGTTTGTGAAAGAATCTAAGTTCGGTCAGTATGTCAGACCATTAGCTATCGTCATTGACCGCAAACGTTATACTTCACAAGAGTTAGCAGTAGTTTTGAAACAAAAGAGTTTCTTCGTGAATGTCAAAGATACTCATTATACTGTCATAAAGAACTCTAACATTGACTTCTTCAGTATTGTTTTAGATTTATCGCAGCAGAAAGAATATAAGAAAGGTGAAACAAATGTGAAATATTATCCTTCATCTCTGAAGACAATAACGAACAAAGATGTTATACAGAAATTCTTACCAAAGGTTGAAGAAGCTTCTATTGACATTGACGAAGGAAGTGAAATGGTTGAAGAAATAGACCCTGAAGCTTTATAAGCAAAAATATATTTTTGGTTAGTCTTCATATCGATATTTTACAACAATTCCCCAATGTATAAACTTTTCATACGCTTTTTCATAAGCTTTATATACCTTCAGAAATTTTGCATAATCTTTAGAAGCATTTAGATATTGTTTAAATGCTTTGTATTTCTTCAGAAATTTTGCATAATCTTTTACATGTTGTTCGTTCTCTTCTTCTGTCATGAGTTCCGAATATTCTAAATTCATGTTCTTTCATATGAGATAAAATTTTATAAAAAAATAAAATTAGCTTAGATTTTTTTATTCTTCCTCTTTGAAGTTATCGAAATATTCTGTTATTTTTTCCTTCAGTAATGGCAAGTCTTCTTTGAATGTAAGTATTGTGCAACCTTTGATGTCATAGTGTGTTTGAGGAAGAGTATTTTTGACAATTTCCTTTATTTGCTCATTCGGTGTCATTGAAATCGGTAAGTTTTCACGATAGAACCAGTTTCTGTCAGATTTATATATTTTAGCTAAGTCATAAAAGCTCTTGTTGTTTCTTCTAACTAAATGCAACATAACCATATCTCTGTCTTCTTCATTTTCCATCTCTTCAGTATAAATCATATACTTATAGTTCTTTTCCTTTCCTTTTGGTACTGAACGTGGTATTCTTTTCTGTATGCTTTTGTCTTTGGATTCAATGACTTCATCTTTTGCTTGAAGTTTCTTTTCCATCTCTCCACGTTCTTGTCTGTGAAGTTCATCTAACATCATGAAAATATAACAAGCATAACGAGGTGAAGTCCACATTGCTACAGCATTTACTAAAAGTCTATGAACATAATAACCTTTCAAACCAGGAGCCAAATTCTTGCGATTTTCATACGGAATCTCTTCCTCGGTTTTCGAGGGAAGCAATCATATGAGGAAATTCTTTCTAAAAGTTCTTTTGTCTGTTGGTTTTCAAACCAATGATATGCTTGCTTTGTAGAACGAAGAGCATTCATTATACTTTGCATCTGGTACATGTCATCTTTGACCGAACGAATGAGTCTCAATTGTTTGTTATACTGTATGTATTCGTATTCTTCATTTATGGCTTCATGAACGATAGCAATTGTTGTGTTCTCTAATGTTGACATTACTGTCTTTACATACAAAATAAAAAAATATTTTATAAAAAATTAGCGTTATTTTCTATCTTTCACAAAAGACCAAAAATAAACGCTTTACATGTATTTTTCAGCAACTTCGTCAAATAATTTTATAGCTTTATCTATCTCATCTACTTCAAACGTTTCTTTACCTTTCGTGGGAGCACCATACATTTTCTCAAACTTTTCAAGTAGTTCTGTTTCTGCAGCTCTCATATAATCATTAACAAACACAACCTTGACTCTATTGACTGTACTGTCATATCTTAGAGTTATATTATATGTCCTTCCTATCTTATATCTTTTTGTGTTGAAGTCCTTCGGTTTCTGAACGATGTAAAGTAAGCCTTCACTGCAACGTTCCGTATCGAATGAACCATATGTTATGAAGTTATATCCAACAACTGGGTCTAACCATAACAAAACTATTGGTATAAGACTTTTGTCAATGAGATATGCTGTAGTTCCATAGAATCTTACCGATATCATAAGCTCAGGATTTCTTGTCAAAATTTTCTGAGTAGAAGCAATTCTAACCCAGTCGTGTGTTTTCTTTCCAGATGGAGATAAAATGTCTGACAAAGAATATTTGTTGTATTTCTTTGAGTATCTTACGTTTAAATCACCTATTCTAACCAATTTGGTGTCATTGTCTATCTTTCTAACTGTTTCAAACTCATTGTTTGACATTTCTGTCTTTACATACAAAATAAAAAAATAAATAAAAATAAAACTAACTTTATTTTTTCTATCTTAAGGAAATTCACGATTTTCATACGGAATCTCTTCTCTCGGTTTTCCGAGGGAAGCAAGCATATGCCATTTTTTGACGAAGTGAAGATTAACACTTCGTCAAAAAAATCCCTGAAATCAAGAATTTTGTTGCTGAATTCAGCAAAAATAATGTTTAGGGTAGAAGGTTAGATCTCACCTGTTTTCTCACCTCTTTTCTCACCTCATGTTTTGTCAAGACTTCTTCGTAAATGTTTTGTCAAGACTTCTTCGTAAATGTTTTGTCAAACATGAACGTAAATGTTTTGTCAAGACTTCTTCGTAAATGTTTTGTCAAGACTTCTTCGTAATGAGCGTAAATCAGACAAAAATAATGTTTAGGTGAAGAGGTGAGATCTCACCCGTTTTCTCACCTGTTTTCTCACCCCAGTTATTTTATAAGCGTTTTACATGGTAAACGTTATTTTTTTAAATTTTGTGAAAACTCAACGGTTTGACACATGCCATATGCCATTTTTTGACGAAGTGAAGATTAACACTTCGTCAAAAAAATCCCTGAAATCAAGAATTTTGTTGCTGAATTCAGCAAAAATAATGTTTATGTTAACATGTTAGATCTAACACGTTTTCTAACCTCTTTTCTAACATAACTATTTACAAGCGTTTTACATGAATTGTACGATGTATATTTGAAATCTTAAACAGTTTCGTAGCTTCTATTTCTTCTTTTAGTATGTCAAAAGTTTTAACGATACCGAAAGTTTCTTTATACTTCTTCTTGACGTCAGATAGAAGGAAATCGTCAGCAGTTGGATAGTTTTTGTTCAGAAATGCTAACATGTCCATTTTATTTTCTACCGGCTTCTCTGCTTCTTTCTTTAAGTCTGCATAGTCGTTTCGCATACGTTCTATCTCTTTGACGGAGTAGTTATATCTCCTCATTGCTGCTTTACATTTAGAACATTGCGGGTTCATTTTTGCGTTATATTCTGAAACCTTACCTGCTAAAACAACTAAGGCGTCAATGGTTTTCTTTAACTCAAAAGCTGCTGGTTTTATCTGTTCATGCCATACCTTACCTCTTCTATCTTTATCTCTTATCTGCCATACACATTCTGCAACTAACGAAACAAAGTTGTCGTAGGTCTTAAATTCTTCAGATTTATATATGTCAGAAACATTCTTATATACCATATCGCAATCTTTGTCCATAACCTTATGGTTGCAATGAAAACCAAGGAATTCATAATTTACCTTTCGTATGAACTTCTTTATTTCTACTGAGTCAGTTGGTTTCACTTCAATTTCGTCAAATTCGGGAATAGTGAGTTTTTGTTGTTGGATTTCAGGTAGTTTAGGCAAATGGTCAATAATGTCCTGCATTTCATAAAGATACTGTTCATTTGTTTCATCTTTCGCACTACAGTCTAAATTACTTGTTAACAGTTCTTGCTTTATCTTCTGGATTTTTGTTTCGAAAGTATATGAAGAAGGAATGAAGTTTTTCATCTCTACCAACATTGACGTAGGATTCATAACTAACGAGTTTGGTGCTGTTGTTTGAATTGTTGTTGTGCCGATTGTTGAAATCATGTCTTTACATACAAAATAAAAAAATAAATAAAAATAAAACTAACTTTATTTTTCTATCTTAAGGAAATTCATGAAAATTCATGAGGTGAGAAAAGAGGTGAAAAAATGGGTGAGATCTCACCTCTTCACCTAAAATATATTTTTGGTCATTTACGCTCATTACGATGAAGAAGTCATGACAAAGCATGTACGATGAAGTTTTGACAAAACATAAACGAAGAAGTTTTGACAAAACATTTACGATGAAATCATGAAAATTCATGAGGTGAGAAAAGAGGTGAAAAAACGGGTGAGATCTCACCTCTTCACCTAAAATATATTTTTGGTGAATTCAGCAAAAATAAATGGTTCATTCATAACACCCTTTGTAAGCTCATAAAATGTTTGTTTTGAGGTCGAGCCACTTTTGGCTCCACCGTATTCTTTCAACCAAAACTCAAGAATTTCCTGCATGAATTTTGTATAAAAAGCAACCGTCTGAATTCCGGCGGTTGCTATATTCTTCACAAAATGCCTTATAATACTCTTCCCAGGACTTATTTTCCAACAACTTTCATGAGATAAATAAGAAATAACTTTCATTTTTCATTAGATAACTGTTATTTTTGACGAAGTGAAGATTTGCACTTCGTCAAAAAATCCCTGAAATCAAGAATTAATTCCCGTCAAATACAAAAAATGAGGGTAGAAATGAGGGTAGAAATGAGGGTAGAAATGAGGTTAGATCTAACCTTCTACCCTAAACATTATTTTTGTTCATGGACTTCGTCCTCGCCGCTTCGGTCTGAAAGACCTCAGGACTCAAAGAGTCCGTTTGCGTCTTTATGTTAAAATAAATGGTATCATTAATAATACATGACTGTTCTCATTCATGTCTGATTTACATCTAATGAAAAAGTTTAGAAGAATTTTCTTATTCTTTCTGGCATATTTTTGTCTTTCCAGTACTCCCGCTCTAATGGTCCCAGATGTGTTGGCTTTGACTCTCTCAAGTTCTTAGATGGTATAACATCTTCAACGCCTCCTTCATATCTTACTTTATAAGTGTCATCGTTTATGTTATAGCCAAGTATTTCAATAACCACTCCTCGCTTTGCTTCGTCAATGGTTTCAGCAAGTTTGCCATTACTACTTTCGACTAATTTATGTCGAGGATAAAATGCAATGGAGTCGTCAGCAGCTTTTATAAGATATCCATTACCTTGCGTAGAGTCTACGATATAATAGTTTCTACTTAACCTTAAACGTTTCTTTGTCAACGGTTTGTCGTCAAGAACTACACGAACTTTTGTACCAGGAATGAGGGTAAATTGTGTTGAATTTCTGATATTTTGTGTTTGGCTTCGTTTCTTTTGTATATACTTTTCTTCTTGTTGTTGTATCATTGAATTTGGTGTATGTCCTGTTGTAGAATGTGTTGAGGAATTATATACTTCGAGAAAATGTTTCATTGTTTCTTCGGTAAAGTCTCGCTCTTGATTTAAATCTCTGAGCGTTCTTATGAAGCGGTTTATGATGCCGAGTATGTTATGGTTATGGTCTTCAGTAGTGTAGTGAGTTATGTTATGCTTAATGAGAAAATCTGTGATTTCATTGCTGAGGTATGCACTGTCTTGGTCTGATGTTAAAGTACTTGGGCTATGTTCTGCTACAAACTTTTGTAAAACTCTTAACACTTCACGAGTTCCTTTATTTTTCATTGGATATGCATATGCTTTACGAGTGTTAACATTAATGAAGATGAGGAATGGTTTATGTCCTCCTTTTCTGCTTTGAATGAGAGTGTCAAATTGGTATGCGTCAGGAGTGTTGGAGTAAATTGGTAAAAAGTAGTCGTAAGGGTTTATTTTTGTTTGATGTACAACATTTTTGTCAAAGAACCTTTTCACTTCAGCTCTGTTAGTAAATCCCCAACTCTTTGCAGCTTCATTGAACTTCTTAAATGACCTCCATGGATGTTGTTCGAATACTTCTTTCAAGCTCATTTATGTAAAGTTAAAGATTTTATTCTAGGCTCAAGCGCGTTCATTGAACGCGGTACCATGCGAATATAGTCACAAATGGTGGCATATAATCTTCACCCAAGCCTGTTGGATTTGTTGTGAAAGTGTGTGAATGATTTCCTCCGGTTCAGTTTGTCGAAAAGTCTTTTTTGCTGCATTGTTATAAGATGGAGATAAAACATCATTGCCAGCTTCATACTCTGAGTTGTATAATGGGTGGTCTCTTAATGAGTGGCTATGGTCGCCAGAAAAGTTTGTAGTTCCCGTATGAGTGTGCGGTGGAAGGTTTGCTTCTTTAATTTTCTTCGAACCCCCTGTTTGCTTTGAAGAGTTAGCACAGTATAAGAATTTGTCTACAATCTGCTGCCATGTACCAAAACCTAAAACACTTGCTGGATTTGTTGAGTTCATTGACGTATAAATAGAGCCTATAGGATATAATGTTTGAAGAATCTGGGCCTTCATTGTTTGAAGCTCTGTTTTGTCGGCTTTATTGTCTAACATTGATGGTAGTTCATATGCTTCAAAGTTTCTGGCATGATCTTCGATATTCCTGCAACTCTTATCTAAATTGTTAAGAGTATCTTTTACGCTTGTACTCGGATTCTCTAAAGGTGCACTTGAACCCAAATCATAGTTCAATATTATGTCGTCTGCTCTAACAGTAGTGAAGGATTTATGTGTATGGTTTTTGTCTGCTTTGTTGTCTAAAGAAGTTTGAAGTTCATTTATATCGGAGATATTGTGTTTATGAGATTTCAAAACTTTGTTCGTTGCGTCAAGTTCATTTTTGTCCGCTTTACTTTTAATAGCATCTTCAAAAGTTATTTTTGACTTAACTCTCAAAGTAAATCTTGGTTCAACTAATACACCGTTAACAAAGAAGTATGAAGCATAAATTTCAGCGTTATAACCAAATGATTGTGGTGCTATACCTGTGTCATACTGTACAGTACAGTGTATGTCATAACCTTTAGCACGAATGAATTTATATCTTCTTTCATTAACATTTTTCGTCTTCACTTCTTCACTTCGTGTTAAATATCCATGATAGTCCGTTATAATCTGTTCGTCTGAACTTATATAATGAACATGGTTCTTGTCCGCTTTACTATTTAATGTAGCTTGAAGTTCATTTATATCGGAGATATTGTGTTTATGAGATTTCAAAACTTTCTTCATTGCGTCAAGTTCATTTTTGTCCGCTTTACTATTTAATGTAGCTTGAAGTTCATTTATATCGGAGATATTGTGTTTATGTTCTTTATCTGCTTTTTCGGCTAATTTCTCTTCTATCTCATTTATTTCAAGTTCATGCCTACCACCACCTCCCGAAGAAGTATTTTTCTTCAGCTCTTGAAGAACGTCCACTTCGCCATCTTTGGTGTCAATAATGAGACTTTGAGTTAAAACCTTTCCTGTCTTAATGGATGTTTGTAAAACTTCTTCTTCACCGTGTTCGGGGTCATGGTCGTCATCATATCTTGTGAAATCAGAGATGTTGTCATACATTAAGCATATCTGTCTCAAAAGTTCTGCTATTTGAAACTGGAACGAAAGATATACAGAACTTTCATCATCTCCTAAAGTCAAGTCTGCTTTCTTAAGTATTTCTTGAATGTATGCAATGAGAACAGAGTACCTTGGAAAATATTCGAACAATATTTCATTAGCTGTTGGTTTTGGTGGTTCTTCTGGAGTTTCTGTTGTTTCAGTTCCTTCTGTAGGTTCTGTTGGAGTTTCTGCATCTCTTGACTTCAATGCTCTTGCTCTCAAAGACCTAAATGTTAGAGCACCAGGTTTTACAAAGGACTTTATAAATGCTTTAATAGTTCCTGGTAAGTTATTGTTAGCATTAAGTAAGTTCCTTATGCTTCCATCATGTACGTCCATAGCACTATGTAAAAAATCTATACTTTTCTTGTAGTCAGCAATAGACTGACTGTGATTTTTTAAAGATTTGTCAATACCTTTAAGCCAATCTTCATGCATGTCTGATACTGAGCCAAGAATATCATTTGCTTCCTTTAGTGTATTTTGTGCTTCTCGTAAAGTATCCAATCCCGTACGTGCATTGTTTGCTATACGTCTTACAGTATCTATTTGACTCCTTGTTTCTTGCATCCAACCAGATAAAGTTTTAATAGTATCCGAACCATTTGAAATGAAGTTCAAAGCATTTTTAACGTCATCTAAAACTTGTTCACCAAGTACTGCCCATATCTTTCCGATTTGGTATTGAAGAACTCCATATGAAGCAGCTGTTAAACCAGTATTTATAAGGTCCCATATCCATGATTTAGCAGTTTTTCCATCCTTTCCATCCTTTCCATCCAAACCGTTTTCGCCTTGAATTCCTTGAATTCCTTGTATTCCTTGTATTCCTTGTATTCCTTGTGGTCCTTGAGGTCCGGTGTCACCCTTCTCTCCTTTCAGTTCATCTTTATGTTCGTTATAATATTCTAATGTCATAAGGTGTACATCATTACTGCTACCAGCAACGCCGAGAATTTGTTTCTCATTCATGACTAAATTCTTTAGGCATTTAATGTTGTCGTCAAATCGAAAGCTCTTTAACAATTCAATGAGAACATTTAATACTTTCACTAATGAGGCATCTACTGTAGAATTTATATATTGCACCGTTCCATCATTTATGATAGGAACCTTGCTTGTTGTAATGAATGGGTCATAAGTGTTAAAAGTATCGAAATCAATGACTTTTTTAGTCTTTCCATCGTCAATGACTAAATCATTGCCTTCAATGGTTAAAGTTGAGTTTTCGTTTACTAGTTCATGTGCTCTTCTTGCTTCATTTGTTTCATACGCATATGCAGCAATAGTCATATTTTAATGAGAATAAAATGTTGTTCTATTTGCAAAGTACAGACCCAAACGAATACGGGACAGTAAAGCTACAAACAAACTTAGGTCTTCAGAATGAAGCGCTTGCTTTCAGAGTTGTTGACTTCAATACTATCGCAACTTTTGTCATAA